AACCAATAGGATTGCGTTTTAGAGATTCATGAATAATTTGAATTTTAGCTGAATTTGTTTATTAAATATTTAACAAAATAGCAATAGATAGATAGAAAAACTTACTTAATCTTTCATATATATATATTGCCATAGATTAATATTCAGTTTGTAGGAATTTTTGCCACGTGCAATCTGCAGCTCGGGATATTTTAGTTGAGGTCCATTTGAATTAATGGGAGTTAGTTATGTAACACACAAACAGCGACAGCGGAGATGAGGAAAATACGTTTCCTCTAATCAGACCTATATTTTGGCAATTAAAACGATTTCCAATTTTATTTTGCCTTTTTTTAATTTATTTAATTAATTGTAGTGAGTGCGCCATTCACACAAGCCAAATCACACAAAACATATTTTTAAATTAATTTCGGTTTGAACATTATTTAGTAACCAACCAGTTGATTAATCAAATATACTCATGGTCCACCATCATACAAATAATGTCCCGGACTCTGGAATTATATTCATCACTGTACGTTTCTTGATTCATAAATTTTTCAAATATTAAGCCATCATTAGCAAGTTCGACAAAATTAGTTGCATGATTTTCGTGCATTAGCACATGGTGTAGTAGACACATTGCAATGCACATGCACGCTGCGGAATTTTGTTTGCAGTGCTGTTGGAAAAGCTCATAAGGAAATATTTCGTTTGTATCCAGGCCTAAATGCTGCAAATTTTTCTGGACTGTTTCGTAGTACTCATCCAGGAATGTTTGGTGATTGTCCAGTGCAAATTTGGATCCAGAGAGGAAAAGAAAATAAAATAAGTCCATTGCAGGGCTTGAAATTTTGCAGATTTGCCAGTCCAAGAAGCACATGCTTGTAGGAGTGCAAAGATTTCCTGGATCCTAAAAATTCTTGGTTTAAAGCAATGGCAATCTGATCGTTCATAGTCCTACCTCGTATTTGAACATCATATTATTGCACCAAGAGTCTCCATGTGTAACAACCAACTTGTTGCTTTCCATAGCAGTTGCACTAAAAATGTTATTTAATTCGATTTGGCATTTCTCTAATGCTTTTGTTGCTTTCTCATGCCCTTCAACGATTTTTAAAGCGTGATCAAAAGCTTTCTCTGTGCTCCGCAGATAAGATCCTTGAGTCTCTGGCATTTCTTGCCAGACGTCCTCTAAGTTGGAAGTGAGGGACTGGTAGGTTTCAGGTAACAAGTGCTTCATAGCTAAAACAGATTTTATGTAGATAAGAAATTGAGGATTCTCAAAGAAAATTTACCTAGAGAAACTGAGTGGAATTTTGCCAGTTCTCTGAAGACGTGAGAAACATGGTCCGCATCCATCCCATTTTTTCTGTCCAGCATTTGAAATTTGGCATCCTTTATGTTATTCATCAGCAAGCATTCGTCACCATCCTTAACAGAGCATCCACGAAGTTTGGTGTAGGACTTGAATGGATACTTCAACGCTCTACTTTGTTGAAAAATTTCAAACGTTGGCAGCAAGGTTTCATACACGAAACGTTCCCGTTCATACAAACTGTGTACCGGTATTTGGGAGCGAACTCTTAAATCGGTTTCCGCACACTTTAACACGTAGCTTTTTTCCTTGCTCATCCCATTTTCCTTTACGTTGATTATCCGAACGTTTCCCAAGAAATTGTCGCCCTTTTTGCAGCCCTCTTCAACCGAAAAGGTAAAATCTTTGAATCCATCCTGGGCACAAACCTCGTTCAACAACGACTCTTGCTCTTGGCTTAACATTTTTCCCACCAAGTTTAACCGATTTTGCTTCGCGAATGAAGGGAAACTTACTGGGCAATCAAGAGGAATGAAAGACGAGTTTTAAGAGTTTAGATTTTTTCGAAAAAATCCAGGCGCTTTATGTGAGCACGTGCTTTGGGTTAGTAAGGAGGCATAGGTAAGATTTTGGGTTTGGTCAAAAAATTTGGAAACTTTGGGTTAACGCGTGTGCTTCTATTACTTGGGGGATTTTGGACTTAACACTAACTCTCTGCATAAAAATTCAAATTTGCGCTACATGGGCAAACAATCACAGTTATTTGCCAATTGCTTGTAGTTGATGATTCCTTTAGTTTAAATTGGCAGCCTTTTCAAATTTTACTAAGTAAAATATGAAAAATTTCAGTTTCCACAAGATCTTGTACTACAATGGGTACTGTGATAAAATTGCGCATCAATACCAATGAAAACGTAATTTGTGCAATTGGAAAATATGTATTGCACAATGCAAACATCATGAAAACAATAAATAAAACAGATTAAAAGTGTCAAGGTTTCGTAAGCTAATTCGCTTTTCTGCCATAAATCTAAACCCTAATCAAACTATGTACAAAGCTGGCTTTCATTTGAGTCCAAGAGATTTTGGGATTGTTATTGTTGGTTCAAGTTTTTAGTTATTTACCTACAGTAACATTAAATATTTGATTAATCAACAATAAAAGAAATTGGGTTTGCGTAAAGTTGCGCAATTCTTTGTCAGATGCAAGTTGCTTAGTGCACTGAAGAGAATATATTTGTTTTCAGTGCACTTTAATGCACTGCAGCTTAATGGTGGAATACTGTTTATTGCTATATTTTTCAGCAAACGAAATAAATTGCGCTGTTTAAATTTTAACATTTGTTAAGAAGAAAACAGCTTTCATATTTTATATAAACTGCTCAAAATAGACGTTTTACCCACAAATTTGCACGAATTTTGAAGCTGGATAAATTCTGATCGCGGAGTGCGATTCGATTTCTGTTTGAAGCGTTATTTAATGTAATTYTTTTCCGGYAAGTGCGTGTTTTTGCAAAAAATAGAGGTTCAGATAAAGTTCGACGGAGTGGCAATTGAAACAACGCAAAATTGGTRAAAGTTCCTYAGTTGGACACGAATAGWTTTTTAATTTCAAAACCAYATGCATTAAGTCTGTATATTTTCAAAAAGTTYGTGAATTTTTSGAGCATYTAGCAYTTACAGAGCRGTCTAAAAAAAATAAATAATTTTTTTTCTCTTAAACYGATTTTSCAAATCTTGGGCTCATATTRAAGGTAAAACTTCACCGTTGAATTGAGAGAAAATATCACAATAGCRGATTGCATAGATGAACRAAAAATTTGARAGTCAAYTTMACTTAGTTGAAAATCTTCCAGAATCACARATTTTGGAGGAAAGTCTGATTTCAGAAWTTTTTTATGCAACYATCTGCAAAAATAGTTTATTAATATTAAGTACTTAAAAACTTACTTTTCAATTCCCGAACAACTCGGAATGTTTTCACCTTCACCTATCATTGTCGAATTTGATCTGATTTTTTTAAATTCGCAATTATTTATATCGCWATTAAAAGTGGTTGGGCGAGACAAATCTTGGTTGTCKCTCCCACCCCTAGCGCCGSCACTGCTAAGAGCAAACCGAACTTTCCGTAATTTTGCATTTCTTCATTTGCCGCCCCGTAGAAAATTTATYTAAARCGCTYGATTTTTAMCAAATTATCTGCGAACAAAAATCAAATGCGGCTAGATGATGCTTCAAACAGAAACAAAATCGCTCCAAGCAATCAGAATTTATCCAGGTCCAAAGTTAGGGCAAATTTGGCARGGTAACGTTCATTTTGTTGAACACTTTATTTYTGTGAAAAATACTATCGATCCAATCGGTTTTTCTGCTCTAGTATATGTACATATTAAATGGAAAAAGTTTAMRWAGTTATAAATGCTTTTTGAGTGCTCAGGATCGATAATCGACAATATAAGTATTTTTATTCGGTTTAGATCGAATACTTTATTGAAAAGCATATTGCAAAGCTTTTTAAAAGCAGAAGGTTCTTTTTYTTTGTAAATTTGAATGAATGTAKATTTCGAAAAAATGTTACGRCTGTTTGCCATTCTCTATCGTTTTTATGGCAAGGAAATGTGCAAAAAACACGTGAGACCCTTCAGARCCGAAATAMATGAAAATGTTAACTTATTTTAAACAGTTTCTGAGCRGTCAGGATTGTTGRTCACCGATATATTGCTCAAACACATTATTTATGCATAAATTCAGCTTTTTCTGTAGAAAGCTTTCAGTTGAGCTAGCAAACACAAAAAACTAAAATACTCAAACACAAGTGCAAAATATTCCCCATGTATGCAAATATCCGATTGTCCAATCTTTTGCTCAGGTTGTATGCAAAGCAAATGCGATATTAAAATTCTATTTCTTTTATTGCAGGTATTCACATGGGGAACAGCGGAAATGGGGAAAGTTCAGCGGTAAGTTAATACAGCATTTTCAATATTATAAGAGCGGTTGAAACAACATAAAGGAGCGGAGTTCGGGTGGCCACCGCCGAAACATCGCCATCAAACGTCTCATTTAAGCACCGGTTTTTGATAACTTTTTGGTACCAGTAGAAAGATGCTTTTGGTGTTCTGGTTCGGTTTTCATTGGCAAAGTCTACCGAGATCGCTCCAAATTTGGCCCTACGAGAAAACAACGGTAATCCAGGCTGGGGTAAGAGGTAAGAGAGGGGTAGGAGCCTTACGTATAGCCGTTGGACCATTCAAAGTTATCCATAAAACTCCACTGAGTGTACCCTGTAACCGCTACATTGTGGTTGTAAATTGCGTCAAGCACACTGGATAGATGTAGCTAGAATTTCGTTATTAATCGAGGTTAATTTCCAGTTTTTAATATGACTATTGATGATTATAGGCCTGGGTAACACTGTGTTGAGTTGCGCTTTTGAGTTGTTGCCGCTCTCTGTGTTAGTGAGTTTTAACTCACCGGTTAATGAGTTGAAAAAACTCATGGTCGATGACGGAATATTACCATCTAACAAAAAAAAGCCATCAACATATTCCTTTTACGCATACGATGGCTTGAAACTACAGTAAAGTCCGCTTATAATGAACCCGGTTATAGTGAACTTTCGGTTAAAACGAACTTTTCTCCTTTAATTGAAACGTCATTCATAAAAGCCAACGTATTTTTTTACTGGTTATAACGATCCCGTTCATAACGAACTTCCGGATATAACGATCACTTTTTGGGTTAGTTATATATTCACTTTTTTTTTACAACGAACTTCCACGCTCAAAAACATTTCAACAAACTCAGATGAAGATGTGCACAATTTTGTCGAAGAACAAGTTAAAACCAAATTGAGTGTTTTCGATTTCTTGGAATATGTGAACATTGATAACGGCATTCTTACAAGAGAAATGTTGGCCGATGAGCAAATTATAGACTCCGTAACCTCATCTACAGCTTTAAGCGATAATGAGGAAGATGATGATTTAGGTGAAACTGATTCTACTGTAGACACTAATGCTGTTCCAACCCTTTCTGAAATGACAAAAAGAGCGTCCGAAACTCGAAATTTTCTACAATCACGCCAAGTTCCTAATCATATCTGGGAATCATTTTGTGATTTTGAAAACTACATAAATAACATCTATTCTTGCAGCAGAAATGTACAAACAAAATTGCAGACTTTATGAAGCAGATTTCAAATTGTGTTCTTTTTAGTTATACCTACTAACTTCTACTACTCTATGTAAAAATAACGAAATAAAATACACCACGTGTTTTTGCATTATTATTCGCTTATGGCGAACTCCGGATATAACGAACCAGTTTTAGTTCATTTTTCAAGTTCGTTATATCCGGACTCAACTGTATTTGGTTTAAAATGGGAAAATTCGAAAATTTTGAAGAAACTTAAAAAATGTGATGAGGGTGACGAGTTTTCCAAATATTGATTATATGGTTTTGCTTTCACTGGTCTTTTTTTGAAAAAACCTAAATTTTGTCGAAACAAAAACAAGATACTTTGTTTCGATTTTGTGCCGAATTCAACGGTAAAATGGGTATTCGAAAAAGACGATAAAGAAGACCAAACTGTAAAGACGAGGACCTTTCTTGTAAATCCATCTTTTAACTTTTTTGCATAAAAGACTCTCAGTTTGCTAGTATTGTACAGTACTTGACGTTAGGAAAAACACGCTGTTCTGTTTAGAGAGAGTTTTGTTTAGAAATATTGACCTAAAAGTGAGGAAAGCGGAATTTAAATAAACCAAATTATTCACAGCGACAAAAGTGACGAGTTTTCCGAATAATTGATTCTAAACTTTCACTTGTTCTGTTCGCGGAAATATTTTTGGAAAAAAATCCACAAAAAAATATCAGGGTGTTGTCCAAAATTGGAAGCTGCAAAAGGTTCCAAAAAAGAATTTACAAAGCTCTACAGGAGCCGAGTGTTCCAATAAAATTATTTTATAATTTTCACAGAAAATTCCTGAAGATTATCAGTAGTTTAAGTAACAATAATATGGTTTTTGCGTAGAAAGAATTGCATAATAGAAACTTGAACTGGAATAACCTGAAATTTTAAAGAAACTTGAAAACTCTTTAGAGCGATGAAGGTGGCGAATTCTCCAAATAATTTTTTGGAAACTTTTGCTCTGGCCGTTTTTTTTCAAGACAATTTTAATTACTTTCGGTAAAAAATTTAATAAAACTATTTGGTTTTTGTGCCAAATTCGAGGCTGAAATGGGTTTTGTAAATTACCTTGCAAACTGACGAATGAGGCGAAAAACGTTTAGTTCTGGGATCGGTTTTTGAGAAAATCTTACTGATTTTCGGCAAAAAACGGAAGAAAGTTATTTTCGTTTTGGTCCCGAACTCGACGCTGAAAAGTTTTCATACAAAGCTATAGATTTATCTTGTAATTTTTCGCGTAAAAGACCTTCAGAACTTCGTCAGTATTTTTAAGCAAAACTCTATAAAATAGAGCGTTTTGAGTGAAAAGAAAAGCAAAAAAAATTTAGTCAAAATTAAAAAATCACATTTTTTAACAAGTCTTCAGAGGAATGGAGGTGACGAGTTTTGCAAATAATTTATTATAAACTTTCGCTGATTCTGTTCGTGTTATATATTTTTTGGGTTTTTGATTAAAAACATTTAGTTTCGTGATCGGTTTTTGCGAAAACCATACTGGTTTTCGGGAAAAGACGGAATAAATTTATTTTCATTTTTGTACCAAATTCGACTCCAAAAACTTTTTTTCTGAAATTCAGTCTAATTTCTAAAAGTCAACAGTCTTCAGAGGAATGTAAATCACGAGTTTTCCAAATAATTTCAAATAATTTATTATAAACTTTCGCTGATTCCGTTCGTTTTTTGATAGCAAATTATTTGATTTTTGTCCCAAATTCGATGCTGGAAAGGGATTTCAAAACTTTTTACAAAACGACAAAGGATTCGAAATTCATTTCATCATTTTTCGCGAAAACTACCTTAAGAGTGTCAGTATTTTTAAGTGAATCTTTAGAAGAGTCAGCATTTAGAAAAAGGGTAACTTTGCTAAAACTGAAAAATTTTGAAATTTTGAAGAAATGTTAAAAATATTATTGATAAATGCCCTTTAAAATAAATCTAGAAACAAGTAAAAAAAGTCATCGACTTTTTCCCAACAATGGAACTGAGTTACTGCGCGGGTGCGTTGGGTTGGCGCACCAAGCCATTTGCGTGGCACTGCGCCAACTCCTCAAATTTTATTGAGTTACCCAGGCCTAGATGGTTATACTGACATTAACGTATTCAATGCGGTCTGAGTCGTTCAAGTTGGAGCCATCGTCTGACCAACCATTTTCTGTGATAATGATTTCCGGTTGATTGTAGTTCTCGTGTATCCATTTTAAGAGCCTGGTCAATCCCCAAGGGACTTGATGCAGCCAGCTGGTCGTGCCGGAGACTTTCCAAGTAGCATCCACTAAGCTAATGTGCCCCTTGTCTATATCATAGCTGGCATTACCCGGCAGATCATCTACTTTGTATGCTAATTGGGCAAGAGCAGTTGTGTAACTGCAAAGTAGCTGGTTAAAGATGGCAATCCTTAAATTGGCCGGTCTTACTAGTTCAGGCCAAACCAATCGTATGTTCCCTTGATGTAGTCGATTTCTTCTCGAGTGAATTCTGGTAGTCTGGATTGTGGCAGGCCCTCCAATGCACTGCGGTTTCCAACTCTATCGATTACGACTTGCGGCCAATTTCCCACGAAAATCGGATGAGCGAATAATCCCAGCTATAATAAAGTGATTTACAATGCTAATACGGTGTTTTCACTTTTTTTTAAATGTTGATATATAGAAAGTAGTTATGGCAAAAAAATTATTGCAAAAAAAGTCCCCATAATAATTTTAAAGCGAATTTAAATTCAAATCAGATATTTTCCGTCAAAAACTCCGAATCCGTATCGTCGGTTGCCTATCCCGATTGTGACGTAGCAGGTCATATCAACAAAGCGTCTCATGCTTATTTTGTTGCTTTCGCAGCCTTGTTTTATTATTTAAGCTATTGTGATTATCATTATTATTTTATTTATTATTATTAATATCTTGCATAATGGAAAATAGTGACATGTTTGTATCACAAAATAAGTGGTGTTTTGTGCCAGGATGCAAAAATATCTCAATAAGTGCTCCAATCAAACTCTTTCTAACCGTTCCTCATGATTATGCAGGTAAAGTTTTATGGTTTAAAGCAGCTAGACGTGATGTTCCTAAATCAAAATCAATGTGTCTTTTTGTTGCGAGGATCATTTTAATGAAAGTACGAACAAAAAGCTAATGATGAGGTAGATAGAATATGCCTTCGATCCTACTTTGTGTTCTGGGCAAATTCTACTTTGTA